TTTTTTAATGTTCAAATTCCGTCTTATAAGCCGAGATATACGGTATTCACTTACTTTTTTTTTTATAAGGTGAGACCCACTGGGTCAATTGACCCCGTTAGGTGGGGTTAAAATTTATATATCCTGTAATAATATATATATATATATATAGATATATATATATAAATATATATATATATATATATATATATATATATATATATATATACAGACCCTCGTTTATGAACACCTCGGTTACTTATAAAATTTCGGTTAACGAACTGCCTTCCATAAGGATCTTCAATTAGGTTTGAATTTCTTCTGAACCGACCTCAACATGTTTTGCTTGCACTGGCGGGCAACCAGCTTTAGTATCAGTCCGCCAATACATTAATCGGTTCTGGGCTTAAATTCCTAACTATTTTAGTAATTATCAAGAAGTTTATACTATTCAATAATTTTAAGTTTAATTTTCAATTTTTTTAGTCATTTTAACAATTATTGAACATAATTGAAAGAGAAAAGTGACTAGTTTAAAAGAATCAAGGCCTCTTAACACAGCAAACAGGCGTTAGTCTCTCTGTTTTCACTGGAGGTAACATCTTGTTGAGACTCTTCAACTAAATGCTTTTTCTGTGTTTCCAAGCAAATTATTGGTCATTTTTAATATATTTTTACATATTGACAATATATAATGCAATTACAGTGTTGATTTAAAAAATAATCTTGAAATACCAAGAAACTAAAATTATGGTGGGGTGCCATGGGGTGACTTCTCTTCCTTTACTATCTTCCTTCTCCTCCACACCCCATTGTAATTCCCATCATCATCATCATCATCATCCAGGAGCCTTCTACATACACACCTCAAAGTAAGTGAACTTTTCTACCATTTTGTTGAATTTAGGAGAAATTTTTAGGTGAGCTGGAACCAATTACCCAAAAACACATTGAAACAATGGTTTTGGTTAGCTTTTTAGGTTAGCAACGACGCCTTTAGAGCAGTTGAGTTAGATTAACGATTGGTCTAGTATATATATATATATATATATATATATATATATATATATATATATATATATATATATATATATATATATATATATATATATATATATATATATATATATATATATATATATATATATATATATATATATATATATATATATATATATATATATATATATATATATATATATATATATATATATAATATATATTGTATTTGTATATGTTGTGTTGTGTATGTGTTGTGTTGTGTGTGTGTTTGTATTATATAATTTTAATCTTATTTATATATAAAAATCATTAAATACAGCACCATATCTTGGGTTTGTGTATTTCTGACCCAGAACCTCATGTGTTGCAAGACATTTATAAGAAGTACTGGAAGAGAGATGACAATTAATTACCTATATTACCTGACTGAATAAAATTCCTAATACTTTGATTATCTTTATTTATATTTAATTGTGTCAATATATTAATATTGTATTAACATAGCTTTTGAAATTTCTATCGATCAAATTAAACCAAAGATTGGAGGTAACTTATGCCTGTTCTTACAGTATGGCACTGTACTATCTTGACTCATGTGTTAAGTTGATGGTCTTGCCACACAATTTTGAAGTCTTGATGGTTTCTTGTCAGTAACATTAGTACGTATTACTATACTCGTCTTGGTTTTGCACAGTAGATAGCAAAACAAATACAGGTTGTACCTCTCTAGTCCAGCAACCTCGGGACCTGACCGGTGCCGGACCATGGAAATTCACCCTTTTCCTGGATAGATAGTGACTTGTGCTTATGCTTGGAAGCACTAGCACCACTTTTTCTGCATCATGGTCTCTTTGAAGACATATTGGAGGGTTAAATGTCGTATAGTAGCTTCTCAAATTTCGTGAGTTTTTAATTCAACGTATTTTATTGGAACACACAAAAAAAAATAAAAATTTTGACGGCGGAAACTTGAATTTCGACGGGTTTGAACGGCCCGCCAACGTGCAGATGACGTGCATAATCGTGTAAACAGCGTCATTTCTCTTATGTAGAAAAGATTCATTATTGTTTATTACTGAATGTCTTTTTATTGAATTAATGTTTATGTGTGCAAAATGAGCAATACAATTCATTAATAATACGTAGAATATTAAAACACACAAGGAAATGACACAGCATTGTTTTCGTTGATTACAAAACCAGTGACTGACTGGTTCTACATATAAAACTGAAGAAAATAAGACCTTGGTTGTAGCTGTAGTAAAATTAATATGGTTGTTTTAAGTAATGTTATTTAATGTTAATAAATGGAACAATAGAAGTAGCTAACGATAATGGTAAAGAAAAAAGAGAGATCGCGTATGTAAGTGCGCACACGTGAAAACATATCGTCATTACTTTACATAAGAATATGAAAGCAACACTTATTTACTGTTCATATATATTTTAATTAATGTTTCTGAATTTGTTTTTATTGAATTAATGTTTGTGTGTGCAAAATTAACAATACAATTTATTAATAATACGTGGAATATTAAAACACACGAGAAGACGAGACGGCTGCCGGCATTGTTTATGTTAAAGCTTACAAAACCAGTGACTGATTGGTTCTACATATAAAACTGAAGAAAATAAGACCCTGATTGTAGCTGTAGTAAAATTAATGTAAAAAAATAAATATGGTTGTTTGAAGTACCTGTAATGTTATTTAATGTTAATAAATGGAACAATATAAGTAGCTAACCATTAATGGTAAAAACAAAGTGAGACTGCGCGTATGTAAGTGCGCACATGTGAAAACATATCGTCATTACTCTACATAAGAATATGAAAGCAACACTTATTTACTGCTCATATATATAAAAGGGTTAAATGTTGTACTCTGTATAGACAAGCAGAGGGAGAGAGAGAGAGAGCAGCCGAACTGCTGGATGTAAACAAACCTTAATTTCCCGCGGCTTTGTTGTTGGGTTTTTTTACGGGGATTAGCCCACCCGGGCATAGGTCACTGACCCACATTGGGGCCTGAGGGGCAAAAATTTAATACTCCTGTAATAATAATAATAATTCAGATAAGTAAAAAAAAAGAAAAAAAAAAAAATTGCCTTTCTACCTATTGGACAAACTAAAATCGTTCGGGACTAGGGGGTATTTTAACTGTATAGTATAAAAGTATGTAGAGAATAAATAATTATGTACCTATACTGTACTATTTTGTTATCTATTTCACAAAACATCTGCTACTACAAACACTTTTTTTTCTTCTCAAAAAAGCTGCAGCAGACAAGATTATAAATAACCCTGACAAGGAACCATAAAGCCTTCAATCACACAAAAATTATTTATGAACTACTGTATCTTACTTCTTGCAAATGTCTTGTGACACATGAGAAGCTTCTGGGAGTCAGACATTAACAAACCCAAGATAAAGTGCTGTGTACACCTACCTAGACAACTTTCAACTTTGAAAATTACTACAGGTGCTCTCCGACTTACGACGGGGTTAGGGACTCAAATCCAGGTCGTAAGTCCGAATGGTCGTACGTCCGACATAGATTTAAAAAAAATCCAAATTAAAAAAAAAATCTACACTAAAATACATTACAGTAAAAGTAATAAATAATAAGGAATGGATACAGTGTGACTGAGCACTTACCTTTAATGTAGTCAGCTGAATGCACACGGGGCCCCCATAATTTTCTAATTATACATGGAGACTACATTAACTGGAAACGTTTCGGAATAGAAAATGCACGCGTCATTTAAAAAGATAAATAAAAAAAAAAATGGTCACAACTGCGACGGTCGTAAGGTCAGAGCAGGTCGTAAGTACCGATGGACGTAAGTCCAAGCAGCCGTAAGGGGGACTACCTGTATATTTAATTATTTATATTTTTATATTTACAGTATTTCTTCATTTCATTAATTAAGAAGTAAATCAAAGGTTCAACTGAGTTTATGAGTGTGTGTAGGGGAAGCAAACCCTGATGTAGTGTACTGGTCGGGAGCTGGAAAATGCTCAACACCGGTTTAGTCTACTGGTCCCAAGGGTCCTGGATTTGTGAGTCGATACCTTTAGTGCCAGTATCTAATTAATTTCTAAAACCTCATAGCATTTTTGTGTAAATTATCTATGAAACTTTAGTAATTGTCTCGCATTGTCAGATTTTTACACTGAATGACTTCTAAGTACTGTACTGTATAATGATGTTAATATGTGTTATTATTTTTCAGATTGGAGGAGCTTGAAAGGATGACCTTTAGTGCACTTGGGTCAAAAGAATTCATGCGAGAAAAGGAACGTGCTCGAGAAATAGAATTTATGTGTCTCTTAGCATGCATTTACAATGACAGTTCCTATTTTGCATACAATATTATGCGGGAATTAGTAATAAAAAATCCAGAGAATGAGAGGTGCTGGAACCTTCTTAATCTTATCATTTCTAAGGCTGATGACTTTCGACACAATCGCTTTTTGTTACGGCTTACTCATAAACACCCAGACTTAGTTGCTTTAGGATTACTGAATGGCCACAACTGCTTGGTTGCTGGAACATACAAATATTCTCTAGCAGAATATACTCAAGCATTTAAACAAGACCCCACCAATCCACTTATTCCACTTATGTTAGGCTTGACTTTTACACACATGGCATGCCAGAAATTCAGTGGTAAAAAGCATTCCCTAGTTGTGCAGGCATGTGCCTTCTTAAACACATATGTTGAGATGCGTGGGGAGTGTCAGGAGTCGATGTACAATTTGGGTCGAGCCTTTCATCAGCTCAATCTCCTACCACAAGCAATCCATTACTACAAGTTTGCTCTTGACTGTCCCACTGTAGAGGAACAACATGAAGGGCCCAGACTTGACCTATCTCGTGAGATTGCATTTAATCTTGCACTCATTTACCAAAATAGTGGCTCTCCTAACTTAGCCAGGATGTATATGTACAAATATATTAGAGTTTGAATTCAAATAAGGATACAGTTAGGTCATAGAAAGAGGAAAGCTTAAAATATTGAGTATAGAGAAATATTATACCTGTACAGTATATGATTTAGGTAGGTAGAGTTAATGTAATTGAACAAAGTAATTTTTTTAAAGTACTGTATCTGTACCTGATATTTTTTTAAAGGACTGTATCTCTACCTGATATTTTTTTAAAGGACTGTATCTCTACCTGATATTTTTTTAAAGTACTGTATCTGTACCTGATATTTTGTTATGTTGAGGTTTGCTCATCTTGCTTTTGTTGTCAAGGAAACAACATTTTATATGTGGATAACTGTCATTTCATTTCAAATTATCCAGATCATTACTGGTGTCCAATTTATTGCTTTAAAAACACATGTCTACCTATGGAGAGGTTGCACTCATGTTCCAAAATCATCATTTTCCAAATTGGCATGGGTTAGCTGTGATTACCTGGTGGGAACTGTCCTTGCAATTAGAACACCATCAGTCCCTTCCAGTACTCTGCCAGTTCATAACCCTAATCCTTGCAAAGTTTCTTGTTAGATTCTCTGGGCACAGTCCATTGAAAATACTGTAAGTGTGATTCAACCTTAGTTACTTCATTCTATCCACCTGTAGCCCGGGGAAGTTAGCCTGGTCACAGTAGCTAAATACAATGGTAAGAGAAAGGTCACTCAAGTTACATTTCCTTTACTGTATTTCTTCCTTAATGTAATCCCTGATAAGTGACCCAGGGGTGAGTACAGCACCTACCGACAAACGGAACCATAAATATATATTACACAACAAAAGTTCTCCAGCTCTGAAAACTTAGGAACTTACTGTATCTCATATCTTCCTGGAGGACTAGATAGGTAACCATGACATCCTTCACATAAAACCCTTAATACTTAGGGTTACTCTAAAACAGTATAAACATGGATTGAATCACTTGGTTCACCAGTAACATGAAAATCAACAGAGAAACCCCCCCTGACTCCACACACACACACTGGTTTTCCCTACAAAACAAAAATGTTATCTTCACAACATGCATTGAACACTTTTCCCTTAAGTCCTGGTACAGCAAACAAAGTGAAAAATCTTCTAATAATACAAATTACAAATATATAACACGCAGAAGTACAATAGGATAATAATAAATAATAATAATGCACTAACTAAATTAATTTCATTTTTTCTTGTAATTACAGGAGTAATTAATTTATAACTTCTACCTCACTACGTTCACCCCTTGGTTTTCTTCGCAGTCATACTCGCCCTCACCTCCATTAAGTTCTCGTTATGACAGACCTGGGCAATCTATGCACGTTAAGAGTGTTTACCAGCTGTTGCCCTAGTGCTCCTTCTCACTGAATTAGGTTTTTCTTCTCTTGTACTAGCAGTTGGTATGTCCGTGGGGCCACATTCAGTATCTGACATTTGGGGCATGAAATCACCTGCATTATCAAAACCATGCATCTCCTCTACACCACTCTCAAGAGTCTACATCATCTGCTAAATACTCACGATCAGTTTCCGTTGAAGGCCTACTATAGCGCGTTTTTTCCCAGCTGAGAAAAGATGCCCCGCCCCCTCCTCAAAATTTACAGCTTATTGGCTGTTGCAAACCTAAACCTGTCCGATTTTGTCCTGAAGTAATGATGTACAGTATTTCTAAACGAGTTTATTCATAATCGTTGGGATGACCATTTCTGACGAGAAAGATATTTAGCTAAATTATGAAAAGATACGTACATTCATTATTTCAAGCATAAGCATGTAGGAAGTTTATCAGAAGTATTATACATGAATTAACTGTTAAACTCTGGTAGGAGATTCACGCTTACGGAAAATGCATTTAATATATATACTGTACTTATTTTTACCCACAATAAGGCATACTAAGACAAATTACGTATCAGTAATACTACATTATGCAAAAACAACATTTTAAAAGGTCAGAATCACATTGAAATATTACATGACCGTCAACAGAGGTGGGAAATATGACTGCGAACTTCATATTTTTCTCGCCTCTGCGAACAGTATCACCCAGTCATCATCTTTCTCGTGTGATTTCAGCATGCGTTCTTTTCTGGGGGAAGAGTGCGCAGTAAATTGTGCTTTTTTCTGTTAAAGTGTTCACACTGAGCCGTTTCCCTCAGGGTGGTAAGGGATTGTTCTTGTCTTCTCAATTCCAAGTAGTTTACACAACTGTTTAATCAATGAGCTCTCAAAATTCTTTCCATGATCAGTATGTATTCTCTCGGGGATATCATAACGATAAAACACCTCTTCAACTCGAACCTTTGCAACAGTTGAGGCTTTCTGATCTCTTGTGGGAAATGCCAAGGTGAATTTACTAAATACATCAGTAACAACCATTACATTCTCTTTCCCATCACTGACTGGCTCTATCAGAGAGAAATCCACAGCTCTGACTTCCCAAGGCCTCTCAGCCAGCAGTGCTCCCATAGGGGTACGGACCACAGGTACTACAGTCATACAATACACTGTTGACACCACTCACAATATTTCTGTCTCTTCATAGAACTCTGGCCAATAACAGCATAACTTTATCAACTGAGTGGTCCTCTCTACACCCTGTCCCATACAATCATGCATAGCCTTCAAAATGTGTGGTTTTAGTGCAGCTGGCAGTACTAACAACTGTTTCCTACTACCCTCTCGGCTAATCCTGCACAACAATCCATCTTTCACATGCAACAGTTTCTCTCTCTCCATAACTGAGCAAACTCTCGAGTCATCCTGGCTTCATGGGCACTTTATCAAATTCATCATGCAAGTAAAGAAAATATTTCCCTATTACTGGGTCTTTTAACTGCAGTAAACTACGATTTCCTTTATCAATTCCTGGCAAGCATACCAAACTACTTAATTCTTCTCCCTGGCTCAGACAATCAGATGATGATTTTTCCTTCTCTTTCACCTCAGATCCTGAAACTTCCACCACAACAAATGACATTTGCTTGGTTTTAATTTCAATCAATATTTTCACGGTCGGGAAAAGACCATCTTCATCCGATCTAAGTGTTCATCAATAGTCCTAGAGAATACAATCAAATCATCTAGATACACCAAAAAGTCTTAAATATCTGAACACCAAATATTCTTTCCATCAGACATTGGAATGTAATGGGGGCATTGTTTAACCCAAAAGGCATCCTTCGATACTGGTATAATCCAAAGGGTGAGCACAAAGCAGTTTTAGGTCTGTCCTGTTCCCTGACTAACTTGATGGTACCCTGATGCTAAATCGAACGTGGAAAACCAACATGCACCTGCCAAAGCATCCAGAGACTTGGCAATTCTTGGAAGTGGAAATGCATCCTTATGGGTGATTGCGTTTAACTGCTTATAATTAACACAATCTTAGAAAACAGGAATTTTTCATCACAAAACGGAAAGTTTGATCATAAAAAAACGAATTTTGATAATGGGAAATAAAAAAAATGGTGACAGAAAATTGAAATTTTAATCATAGAAAAGAAATTGTTATGATAAATAAGAGAAATTTTGATAATAGAAAATGGGAATTTTCCTTATAGAAAAGGGAAACTTTCATAAAAGAAAATATGAATATTGATCATAGAAAATGGAAATTTTTCATAAAAAATGGAAATATTCATGACAGAAAATGGGAAAATAAATAACTGAAAACCGGATTTTTCATTAAAGAAAACTAATTTTCATTGTAGAAAACGGGATTTAACAGAAAACGTGACATTTAATCATATAAAATGGGAGGGAAAGGAAGGGTGGGTGAGCAAGAAAAGGGTAGGAGGGGGAAGGATTGGAGACATGACAAGTGAGGAGTAGGAGGGAGGGGAATGAAGGTGAAGGAATGGAGGGAGGTGGTTGATTGATTGTGGTAATTACATCCTTGGGGTCACACAACAGCCTCGGTCATATGTCGCTGAATTAAAATAAGGCTTAAAAGACTAAAAATGGTATTTGTACTGTAGGTATTGCTCCATTCTTAATCTTTACAAATCATCTTGGTACTGGTGATCCTGTAGTGGATTTCTCCCCTACAAACGCTGTTTGTCGCTGCATAGCCGACCCGGCGAATTCCACAGTGTGTGCCTCATGGTCTAGGTCAACCAGCGCCGCCCACGGAGCGGGGGTCAACTATCTACCCACGCCTACCTCCGCTATAAAAGACCTGACCTCGTGGTGACCTGTCTCTTTCTACCTACTGTACACCAACCAGCCAGCACCTCCTCCTCCTCCTCCGCCTGCCTGGCGGTCCTCGCTCCCGCCGGCGAGCATGGCGACCCACAAGCTGTCCTCCTCTGAGCATCCTCACCAACCAACTCACTTCTTCTAGCTACAGCCGCAGCAAGCTACACCACCTCCTCCGCCGCTGCTTGGCGGCCCTCGCTCCCGCCGGCGACCCACAAGCTGTCCTCCTCTGAGCATCCTCACCAACCAGCTCTCTCTGCTCAACGCTTGTAACCATGCTGCCTTCCCAGCACCAAGCTGCATTGTACATCCAATACAACATGTATACAGAGAGCACATTGTGAGTTTCCTTTCTCCATCCCATCCTGAGTGTGAACCAAACAACCTGTTCCCCACAATCCAAGCAGTTTATATTTCAAGTTCCCCCCAAACGCAGACTTGAAAATGCAAGCTGCATATTTGGACATTTTCAGCATTTATAAAGTCTTTCCTCTTGCACAAGTTAATCCATCTTATCAGCTCTTTATCCTTGAAAAAATGATGAAAAGTTATATCACCCGTTTTTAATTTGTATTAAACACCCGAAAACTGAGCAAGTGCTCAACTTACTTGCTGTTATTGTTGATGCGTGTAGGAGTTACTGACGTCACGAACTCAGAGAGGTTCCGTTTTCTTTGATGCGTCAACAGATCCTGACCACTGCAGTGGATTCCTCCTCTACAAAAGCAGTATGTCGCTGACTAGCCGACCCTCGAATTTCTCAGTGTATGCCTCGTGGTCTAGGTCAGCAACCAGCGCCGCCTTACATGACTGAGGTCAACTATTAAGCCACGCCTACCTCCGCTATATAAGACCTCACCTCGTGGTGACCTATCTCTTTCTACCTACAGCCACCAGCAAGCAACACCTCCTCCTCCGCTCCTGCCTGGCGGCCCTCACTCCAGCCGGCGACCATGGCGACCCACAAGCTGGTCCTCCTCTGAGC